ATAAAAATAATTACTCCGATGGTCTGTCCATGAAAGGAAAATGTCTGCAAGCAAATTAAGATCTTTCTAGTGAAGCAAGAGAAGCATTCAATATTTTAAAAATATATGCAGATAAGTGATCCTTACTGTTGAGGTTTTTCTGAGTGTACATGTATGTATATATAAATCCATACACACACATTACATAGTTTATTTCCTACTAAAAAGATTTAAGGCAGTTACTCTATAAAGTTAGCTGTAATATCCAGGGTAAAACAGTTACCACTCAAGAAATTATGTGAACACGTTACACAAGTTCTCATAAAGGCCATCTAAATCTAGTATAGTTCCCGTTTCCTGGCTGAGGCTACAAACACAGGAATTCCACACCCAGAGACCATTATCCCAAAATCCCCATACATAAAACAAAGTAGTCTGAACAGTCAAAATACCCATGGAAAGCTTGAAAAGATGTGAGAGGAACTCATAATAGTATTCTGCTTGCCTTTAGAGACCACACACTATAGTCACTACTCTTGATTGTGCTAAATCCAACAATCCATTATGCTCCAAGGTGGGAAACAGGGCTAATATTGTAGGAAAATCATTGCCTGCAACAGCCAGGAAAGTTCATAATCCTAAACATAAGTTAAAATAGAACCTGCTGACATGCTATTTGCTAGTCACAAAGACATTAAACTGAAGATAATTTCTCCCATCAAGTGATGGACCAATTTGAACAACATCAACCTTAATAAAGGAATTAGAACCCTGGGTATGAATAGTACCATCCTTTTTGGTCTTTTGTAAAAGTCAAAGGAGAGAAACATTCTGATGTACGCTGATATAACACAACTGGCAAGGAAGAGGGCAATCAGCAAAACCATTAGGGACATATGTCAAGAGAAGGGGAGAAAGAATAAAAGTCAGCTGATAAATATAAAGGATTTAGCAAAGTAAAAGCTAATAGCAGAATGAAAATGGGCAATAATTTGTTATGTCTAGACATCAATGCCTTAGATCAGAGTAAAATTTTAAAAAAGATCGTGTGTTTCTATGTCCACAGACTACTCAGTTATCTAAAGAGATACGGGGTGTGGTGTGGGGGTGGTAATGGAGTGGGGCAAACTGTGAAACTGGAATGTTTGGTTATGAAAGCAACTGCACATGAGACAAGTTTTAAGTAAAGATTGTCTTGTTTACTTTATAACCCACCATCAACCAGGAGGGTCCGTATTATTGAATGAATGTCCAAAGTAATTATTTTTTAAAAAGACAGAAATATCCTAAAAGCATATTTGGACAGTTTCTGGAAGAGGTAGAGAAACCAACTGGGTATATACTCTTTTAAAGTTTGATTTCAATTAGCAAGATACTAGACTGATTGTATTTCATCTTCAAAGTTTTAGTCTTGATGAAACTGACAATAAAAGTACAAATAAAAGTGAAATTACAGTAATATTAACAACAAAGGAGAAAATCTGACAATGTTTAAAAGACTAATAAATCAAGCAAAATTGGATATGGTTTAAGATTAAAAAAAACAAACCCAGGCATTCACAACTTGCAAATATAAAGTTAGAACATAAAGTTAGAACACAAAGTACGTGTAAGAATACAGAATGAGATTATTTAGCTTTCAAGAAAAACTAGGCAGATTTTCTTCTTGCAAAGTGACAGGTCCCAAGAGAGAAAGTAACTCCCACAAGACTAAGCTAAGCACAGCTTGACGGTCAGGACCAAATCCCGGTTATCTTTTTATTACTCAATGCCTATCACAGTGTCTAGGAGGTAAAGAATAGGCATCATTAAATGTCTACTGAATAAATATATACCATAATGTATAACTAGCATAATTAGTTCAAACCTAATCAGGAAAGTTCTTTAAAGTGGGATGAGAAAAGAATACAGAATTATTCCAAAAAGTAGGCTGATATCGTTTTCTCTAATTTTAAACAGCATAAACTTTTCAAACTTTTTATTAAGCAATATAACTTTTTAACAAATCTCTGCAGAACTCCAATATAGAACTGAAATGAAACTGCCACTGGTTAGACCAGATCAGTGGGAACATCACCAGCCTCCAATTTCCAAGGCCAGCCCTAAGGTGTCTCTATGGACTCGAATCCACTGTGAAAATAACCATTCATCTAAATGTGACAGACAGCATGGTCCTTCCATTCTCACTTTGTTGAGTTGAAGAAATTACCAGCACTGTGAAGAAGTTCTAAATAATGTTGCTAATTTAAAGAAAGACAAAATCCAACAAGGAAGAGATTTCACCATGAAGAATGAAAACAGTCCCTATAAAGGGGGGAAAAAGAAAGGGTCCATGTTAAGAGGCCACTGTAGACAATACAGAATGCAAAAACAGCATTCCATTAAATATGGGAAAAAGCTGATGGTTGGGATTACTACTTGGGCACTGCAGATGCTCTTTGGTTAGAATATTTTAAGAAATGTGAATTGTGAACAGCCCAGGAAACTGCTGTATATTTGGGGGCTATCTGAATATGAAGAAGAGAAGCAGATAAACAAATGCTTTTTGGGTTCAAAATCTTCAAAAAAACTTTAGGGAGGTAAACATCTGTATCACTAATGTACATGGGATAATTCTGCCTTTCTGTTAACTATAGTTGTCCCCCCTTATCTGATTTGCTTTCTGTGGTTTCAGTTACTCCTGATCAACCATGGTCTGGAAAATTCCAGAAATAAACAATTTATAAGTAAAAAACAAACATGACCATGACCATTAAATATATTCACAAAAATGTAGTCACCACCATGAAGCCAACTGCTCGACAGGTATAACTGCTCAGTACAACAGGTGCCTCCTAAGAGTTGAGTCCCAGCTTCTGGTGGCACAGAACTCCATTGCAACTGGAGCTGAGCTCCATATTGACATGCTGTGATTGGCACTGCTTCACTTAACATACCAATGCAAGAATGACTGCCAAGACCCTCCACCAGTTTCAAAGTTGTTCTCTGCCCCCAGAACTGCTCCCAAGTTCTCAATAAACACCTGCAAAGGGCAGACACTCCCCTGTTATCTCCAGCAGATCTGCGGTGGTAATAACTGGGAATTTACACAAATCACAAGATGCCCTGTAGAAGTAGTAATTAGTGAGCAGCAAGAAGTCTGGAAGCAAGCAGCCAGACACTACAATGGTGAAAACTTGCCCAAGGCCAATTTAAAGAAGGGGTTGTTAAATGGTACTGACAAATGTCGAACTTTACAGCAAGGGCTTGACAAAGAAGAAATATTACTGAGGATGACAAAGTCTATCACAAAGTAAGGCCACCTTCAACTATTATAAATTGTAGAACCATTCTGATCCTCAAGTTCGGATCTGTGTAGAGGTGTTCATATAAAGCATTCATAACTAATGAGTTTCCTCTAAAAGGAGCCTTTGCATATCATGCCATTTCTGGATCGCTGCTTGGCTGGAGATCCTGGCTAGGCTGCTGATGAACTGAACTCTGTCTCCGTGTCATTCCTTCTTCGCCGATTCCGTCCACACCTTTGGGAACCCCTGGAAAAGGATTCCCCTAGGTAAGCCCCCCCCCCCCCCATTGAGAACCCCCACACTCGGGACGGATAGGACTCCACCAGGGTGCTACAGACCCCCCTATAGAGGATAAGTAGGGTAAGAAGGTGGATAGTACAGAACTTAGATTGAGAAGATGTGCCATACTGAGTCCAAAGAAAGAAGACTCTGTATTGATTCTTAGATTGAGAAGATGTGCCATACTGAGTCCAAAGAAAGAAGACTCTGTATTGATCTTTTAACACATATGCTTGCTAGCAGAGGAATTAAGGTTACTCCCAGTCAGACAGAACGTTTTATACAAGAAGTATGTCCATGCTTTTCTGAGGAAGGAAAGGTAAATGTAAAGGCATGGGAGGAGGTAGGCCCAAGGAGCCTTATCCTTAACCCCACTGCAGCCTTTCCACCCCGGGAAAGTGCAGGATTGGCAAGCTCTCCCTGGGGTGATAGATCAGGACTCAGGTAATAGCGGAAAGCGTCAATCCTACTCTTAAAATGGATACAAGAGAGCATTTGGGGTTTTTCTTTTTAATGCCTGCTTTTAAAAAATAAAAAAGGGGGAATTTGCCGGGAGCCGGTCCATGCTTGCTGTTTCAAGGGACCTGGAATATATGGCATACTGTTCTTAATATGTTTGCTCACCTTCTTGGCACTATGTGTTTTAACCAAGGTCTCTGAGAAAGGTTGTTTCCCCAGGTAGGGATTTTCCCCTGAAGTTAGGGAGGGAATAAAACCTCTTAACTAAGTGCCAGGCGGGTAATTAATCACTTTAACTATGAACAATCATGCTTAAGCTACATAATCTTTACTCCCTGGAATGGAGATAAGAAACACCCTAACCTTTGGAATAGAGATTGATAGGATTGGAATCAACTGGTATAAATACAGTTGTAACAGAACTTAGAACACAGAACTTGGAAGACAGAACCTACACAGAACCTAGAGACAGAAGAACTTCGCTGGAGAGAACATGGCAAAAGATCCTGGACTGAACCTGACTACAGAAATTGGCAAGAGAACCTGACTAGAACCTGGTGACAGAACCTGGCTGGAGAACCTAGCGAGGGAACATGGCTACAGAACCTGGCTGGAGAACCTAGCAAGAGAACATGGACACAGAACCTGGCTGGAAATCCAGACCAGAACTTGGCTGGAGATCCTGGCTAGAGATCCTGGTTAGGCTGCTGATCAACTGAACTCTGTCTCTGTGTCATTCCTTCTTCACCGACTCCGTCCACACCTTTGGGGACCCCTGGACCTGCTGGGGCTGGACCCCAGCAGCCATTCTCTTTGCCAGGAATGCCCATTTGCTCCTTTCTCACGCCAAGTGTTAGTGCAAGCAACACTTCCCTCTGTTGTACTCTATCACCCTATTTATTTCCTTCACAGGCAAAAAAGCTGATAAAGGGTTATAGTGTTCACCTTTACCCAAAAGCTAAGAAAGTTCCTGGCACATATAACAGGTGAGCAATAAATATTTGAATGAGTAAAAATTTACTACACGTTTACAAGAATACATGTATGTACACACAAATATTGGAAAATGAGGAATACTTAACAGAAAACAACCAAATGCTGAAAGTACTGAAAATGACACCTGTAGAAACAGGTGACTATGGTTTAAAAAAACAAGTACCTAAGATATTTATCCTAAAAATATAAAAATTTACTAGTAGGGGACTAGGAGTGGTTATTTTTCATTTCTATTGAGATGCAAACAAGTAATGTTTAAACAGCAATAACTTCACATTAGACCTGGGAGTTACTTGCTGCAGAACGAACTACGCACAGAGCTTCTGTTCCACTCACTGCAGAGCATAAAATGTGGTTGATTCTAGTAACAAACATATATTCAGTTTTAGTTAAGAACAGCTCAGACTGTAGGTGATTATAAGCTTAAAAAGTTGCGAAGCTGCTTCTCCCCAAATTTTTAAAATTCCATTAATAATTATGTAAAAAAAAAGATTTTATAAATTGAATACAACATATTTTAAAAACAGATGGCCCTTATCTGCTGACCACACCTCAGCATCACTTTTCTAGGTATTCTGCAGGTACAATTACATTTACAAAAGGCCCATTCATAAAATAATCTGGTAACTAAATCAAGTGAAACTCAAATCAAAGAGCACTAGGTGTGCTGTTGAAACATTTAAAATACCTTTAAAAAAAGTGTTTACATCTATAGATTGGCTTTTAAAAAAGGACAAATGGAATAATTGTAGCATATCCCTGAAAATAATTATACTGCCACCTATGTATTTTTTATGAGGTGTAAGGATAAATGAATAGACTACTAGGTCACACAAGTCAAGTATTATCTGTTGAAATGTGTAAGACAAAGCAACTTACTCCATATGCATTCTTACTGTACCCCAGAAGTGACTGATGCTGGCACTATCAGTGCAACCATTACTGGCGATGGATAGCATGCTATTCTGTTTTTGTATCAGAACAAAAGTAGGAATGGAGAAGAGGTTTGAAAAGATTTTCTGCAAGGCTTTGTTACAGAAATTTAGCACTAAACAAACCAACCAACCAACAAGAACAAATGTTTAAGACTCACTGAACACAGTAAGATCAAGGATTTCAAAAGTTAATCCACTTTTCTTCCCCCAAGAGTTTATTTTTGGTAAAAGGCAGAAAAATTAGTTTTTCTACAAGGGAAATCTGCTTCTAAATGATAATTTGAAAATCTTGATATATATTATATATTAAAAAAGACACACAAAAATAACGGAGAAGTGGGAATAACAGATTAGGTACTGTAACTTTATAAAAGCTTGCCTAAATCAAGAAGCAGCACACACACACCTAATTTATGCAAACTAAAAATGTATATAAACAGCACAATACTGTGATACTGGATCATGATACATTACCTGTACACATAACTACTACTGTTATTAATAAGCCTTTGGGACACTCAATTTTATGCCCAACAAGACATTAGTAAGTCTTTAAAATCTTCTCTTCCTCCTTTATGGGAGGGTATTTCTAGACACTAATTTTCCCATCTAATATTCGAATATAGGAAACGGATTCCACAAGGTGCTTTAATTGATGAGACCTCAAGTGCTGTTTTCTCGGTTGAATTTTTGGATTCAAACAGTCCATGGGGACCACACACAAATACTATGACAGAAGAGTTGATACAGTAAGTCTTTTGATGGGACTGGATTGGTGATGGAACTTTATGACATGCTTGAGCAACGCACTGAAGGGGATCCCATCTGAGTTAATACTTTGTCCAACCACTGCAGAGGTCCATTCAGATGAAGTTCAATCCAGCAAGGAGTGCTTGTTACCGTCTGCCTTCTGTTTAAGAGAATACAAGCAAATAATTATGAAGTTAAGAGAACATGACTATGTTTAGTTATATGCAATAAGAATTTAGATAAAGTAAAAAGTTGAATATACTGAAACCTAAATTCTTTTGAACAAGTTTGGATATCTAATTATTTTGAAAACTGCTTAATCCTCAAAGTCTAACAAAGTATTCCCAATGACATTTTTCTTTTAAAAAGATTTATAAAAAACCTTCTTTTCCCCTTAAATTAAAATTTGTAGGGTGACCTTATTATTTACCATCCAAAATGGGACACCTTTATGAAAGAATGTAGTCACTAAACCAGGACTGCCCCATGCTAACAGGAATATATAGTTACTCTACTTATTTAACAACTACAGAATAGAAGATATTCAACTACCAAATGAAGTCTAAATAACACAGGGTTAAAGTATACCAAAACAAAATTCTGACCCAAACTCATCACAAAATGTTAAGAGTTATAGTAGTTCAACTTTCCTGGACAAAGCCAGTAATATCCCTTTTAGCAACATCATGCAAACTTTTAATAAGAAACACCCTTACTACTTCAACAAAAAGGGCTACTGTCTGGGAATCATAAATTGTTCAATGACATCCTGTCATTTCCATGTACTGATTTGAGCTGTTTTATTTAATATACAAGTCAGTAAATCTGCTTGCTTCTTTGTGACAGCCCTACAAACATGAGAAAAGGCTATTATCAACATTTCACCTCCAAGCAACACATGCTCAATATATTAAAACTGTATTTCAAGGGATGTGGTTTTTTGTATCAGAGGGTCTAGTGACCCATTATGCCCTTCAGATTTTTCAGTGTTCTCTGGACTAGCGGTCGCCAACCTTTCGGACCTCACGGACAACCACTGGCCTGCGGACCACGGTTGGCGACCGCTGCTCTAGATATCTTCCAACTGCAGGTGTCTGCACTTATCTGCCTGAGAACTTCTTAGCTCTGTCCACGTGTGTAGCATACTAGAAGTGCCAGGAAATTAATATCCCCAGGAGCAGCCTTCAAGCAATGACAAAGGAATTGGCATTTAAATGTTGTTTCATTTCCCTCTGGGTGGGATAATTCTGAATGTTCTTTACCATTTTCCAAGGTTTCCCTCAGGGAATAAACTAGTGACCCACCCGCTATAGTAGATGGATTAATAATGATACTGGCTGCCTTCCCTCCCCTACCTCACTTCCTACTTCCTCCTTCCTTACCAGTGTTTCCTCTATTTCCTAAACAAACTCTTTGCACTTGAATCCTTGTCTCAGTGTCTGAGATATACACTAAGACATTCCTAAAATATGACACACAAAACACAATAGTCCAAATCTGATCTGTATAGACTCATTGCCTTGTTCTTTTTTAATTATTATTTTATTGATTTCAGAGAGGAAGGGAGAGGGAGAGATGATAGAAACATCATTGATCGGCTGTCTCCTGAATGCCCCCTACTGGGGGTCCAGCCCAAACCCCAGGCATGTGCCCTTGACTGGAATTGAACCTGGGACCCTTCAGTCCACAGACCTACATTCTATCCAGAGCCAAACCCTCATTGCCTTTGTTTTGATTTAGAAACTATGTCTACTAGTATCTATGCAGCTTAAAATTGCACAAGCACACTTTACAAATTGCCTCATTATCCATGAGATATAGGCAAGACTGACCCTTTCTCATCTTCCCCTTCACTCTTTTTGTTTTGTTCTTCACAGTTTCTCCTGCCTTCCATCTATCCCTTGGATCAGACCTTTGGCAGCTATATTGCCAAAATCTCTTTTAATTTTGATTTTGCTATGTGCTGAAGTCTGGATTTTTGCTGAAGTCTGATGTTTTCCCCAGTTTGTTTTCAGTCCGATCATTTCATTACTACATTAGTTTAACCTTCAGGAAAAATTCTTCATCTAGGTCACTGAAGGGTAGAAATAAGTTTAAGAAGACTGTCACTATACCTATTTGGGCAAAAAAGTTGCACTTGAGGCATTATTCATCCCCCTACCTGTTTAGTTACTCCAGTACTGGTTCACTTATTTCTCAACATAATATGAATTCCTTACACACCTATATTTCCTTTTTAATGTATTCCTGACTTTATACTGAGAATTGAGCTGGCATTAAAGAAATGAAAAAACCGTTTTAGAAGTCCAACCGTTAGAACTACCACCTCAGATTCAAAGTCATTAAAGATAAAAGGTTCCTGGTAACTACCCACAGTTCACAGATACATGGGTATTTTGATTTGTAAATGTTCAAGAAAGCTTCGTAATTATCCAAGTAGATATACCTGACTCTACACCCATAAAACCATACTGTATATTATTGCTTCTCATAATTACAGATTTTAAATGATCTCTGGGTTACAGAATGGCAGAGTCCACAGTAAATGCAGGGCAGTATCTCTCTCTCCCAATTAAAATTGCTTTTAGTGGGAGACCTATAATTTATTTCTCTAATCTATTCAGTTCATATTTAATTCAACTGATTTTCTACCATGTTCTGCAATATTCTAATATTTGAAGGGGGAAAAAAAGGTCTGACCTGAAAACATCATATCAGATAGCAATATTTGAATCTAATTTTAATATCAACTCAGATCAATTCAAGTCCAAAGGAAAAAAGGAATTCAGCAGTCCTTAGAGGTATCACATCTCAAAAAGGAAATAGTTAAAGCAAAGAGAACTACAGCAAAGTCACAAAGTGAATTATTCTACTAATATACCTAGGACAAAATAGTGAGAAGTCTTCATTCTAGGATATAAATATACAGCACAGAATATATTTTTATGGAAGTATATAACCAAAAGACCTCAAATCTAACCACCTCACACAACTTACTTAAGATCAGAAATCAAGTCCAAATGAAATGAAATAAATTCTGAAGAAGGGCCCAAACTGTGGAATTCTATTGCTATACTATATGAACATCTTCTTAAGTAGACATTCAAAGAGTAAGCAATATGACCTGGAGAAAGATCAAGAATTTTACTTACAATTCCATTCTTTAATATGCTGAAGTCTTCCTTTTCTTTGATGTGGAATCCAATCTATTGTAATCTATCTTACCTCTTGATGACAAATGTGCTTTTGTAAAACTCAATTACGTAACTGGTACCACTATCTTTAGAGAAGAGAGTAAGAGTCAAGGAGAGCTTCCCTCAAGTCCTGTCTCCACCCGTTACAATGTGTCCTTGGGCAAATGATCAAATCTCTCCGAAGTCTATTTCCAAATAAGTATTAGTCTGAACCATTTTTTTATTTACAAAGACTGCAACCTCATAAAGAAAAGATAGTAACAGAAATTCTTAGCAATGTTGAAAGACATGATACTACATTTAAAACAAGCACAGTGCCTGACACCTAACAAGTACCCCCTTCTATTACTGAATCAAGTTCCAACTCTTAACTTTATATTCAGGTGGTCTCAACTTATTTGTCCAGACTTTTTCTTCTTCTGTATTTTCTATACTCTCCAGGCAAATTGAACTGCTATTTTATTGCCAGAAGCACCATCTGCCACGCCCTCATAGCTATGACTACTAAAATACTATACATCTTAGAACGTACATTATCTCCACCATCTCTACCAGAAGCCTTCACTGAGCCCCAGTGAAAACATACCTCCTTCTATGAACTGACATAATCCTTCCTTTACACCCCTTTTTATGGTATTTAACAATCTGTATTATGTTATAGTGAATGTCTATACATGTTTCAAGTCTATCTTCTATAATGCCAGCAACAGAAATTCACTATATTTTGAATCTAGAGGCCTCCGACTTTCTTTTATTTCACATAAAGATCTACTGACTCCATAACCTCAATGAAAACAGATACATGTGAACTCCGGACTGTGCAAGAATGAGGGGAAAAAAGAATTATGTGGAAATTTAAGAAATGAGTATGTATTTCATACCGGTATTCTGCTCCCCACCCTTTCACAAAACTCATTCTTATGGTGCACATTCTAGTTAGCTGATACACGGCTTCAAAACCCTGATTCACAGACTGAGCCAGAAGAGCAGCAAATTCCTGGTTGTTGAAGATCTTCAGATTACAGCCTATGATGGAAAAAGTAAAAAAAAAAAAAAAAAAAATTGCTTAAAAAGAGTACTGTTGTAAGAAAATAGCTTTAAAAGGGCTACACATATTAGAATACAAGCATGCAAATAATCTCCTGATTCCTAAAATTAACAGAAAAGATAGGTTCATTTACATTGTTGTATCCATACCTGGTGGAATTTTACACACTGTTGCAGGGTGCCAGCCGTATCTCTGATTACAATTGGGGCTCTGCACAAAGATTGCACTATCACTTAGGCACTCAGCAAAAACTTCCCCACCTATGTAATATAAGCGCACTCCTCTTCCTAAAACAAAATACATATGGGATTAGTTTTATAACATTTACTATTTCAGCATGACTTGGGAAGAGTCTTCTGGAGGAATACTAAAATAATATAAGGTACTTAGATGACATTTGCCATAAGCTATGCTTTTCTGACATCTAATTTGAAACAGGCTACAGTATACTTTCCCAAATATTTCTCAACGATTTTATAGATTTGCAAAAATAATACATACTTATCAAAACTATTTAAACAATGTAGAAAAGTACATGGATAGTAGTATAAAAAACTTCATACCAATTATATATTTTAAAATTAAGTAAAAGAAATTGAGTTAATTTGGAGGGAATTAACTAATGTTTGGAGAAATATACCTTCATTATAATACATAGTATTTCTTTAAATAGCCCACTAAGGTTAAGAAAAAAGGTAATAAAAATGATCAAGCCCTGGCTGGTGTGGCTCAGTTGGTGGAGCATCGTCCTGTACACACCAAACCACTGGTTCAGTCCCTGGTCAGGGTACATATGGGAGGCAATCAATCAATGTTTCTCTCTAACATCAATGTTTCTCTCTTCCTCTCTCTAAAATCAATTAAAAAAAACATTTTAAAAAAATCATCAAGAGTTTATTTCTGGTGGGCCTGACTTAATCAGGTGATACCCTTGAAAGAGATTGGGCTGTCCCTGGTGAAAGTGATTCAAAGGTGAGAGATGGTCAACGCAAGGGACTTTCCAGTGGGGACTATGAACGCAGGTCCACCTGGCAAGGAATGTAGGTGGACTCTAGATGCTGACAGCAGCCTCTAGCTGACAGTCTGCAGGAAATGAGGACCTCAGTACTGTAAGTTCAAGGAAGTGAACTCTGCAACTCATGTGGTCGGTCGGACAAGGACCTCAAGCTCCAGATGAGAAGGCAGTTCAGATGACACCTTGATTCCCCTAGTGAGACCCTGAGAAGACTCCTAAGCCATGCCTGAAGTTCTGACCCACAGAAACTGTGAGATAATAAATTTGTGTTATTTTAGGCTGGTCAGTGTATGGTAGTATGTTGCACAATTTAAAAAACACACAAAATTCCCCCAAAAGCTAATAAAAGAACCAACAAGCCAGATTTAATATATAGTATAGATACAAAATCTGGTGCCCTGTTCTCTTATGACTACAGAATATGTGTTTAAAAATAACCATTTACTTGACCATCAGGAAAACATGAAGTCTAAAAAGTAAAGATATTTTTAGGCTATATTCTCTGATCAAAAACAACTACTAAACTAGAAATCAAAAGTTAAAAAAAAAGATAATCCAATAATTATATCAATCTAAAATTTTGCAGAAATGAAATAAGGTACAGAAAACCTTCTGTTAAATTTTTATGCAGAACCCCAATTAAAACACAGAAAAAAAGAATATTTTAAAGTAGGGTGGATATGCAGAGGCCTTCGTCACCTACAAGACACCTTCGTATCCTAACAAGATATGCAAAATTTTAAAAATCAAGCAAGATTTGAGGAATTCCACATGAAGCCAAATAGGAGACCTCTTAAATCCCTAATATTCTACAGCAGTGGTTCTCAACCTTCTGGCCCTTTAAATACAGTTCCTCATGTTGTGACCCAACCATAATATTTTCGTTGCTACTTCATAACTGTAATGTTGCTACTGTTATGAATCGTAATGTAAATATCTGATATACAGGATGGTCTTAGGCGACCCCTGTGAAAGGGTCGTTCGACCGCCAAAGGGGTCACGACCCACAGGTTGAGAACCGCTGCTCTACAGTATCACACTCACTCTTTAGTGATCAGCATCATTTATCATAGGCGGTGACTGTTTGTTAAATGGAAACAGAAGAAAACAATTGTTAAAAGAAGTTACTTTAAGGTAATTAGAGCTATGTTCAGTTATATCAGTGGTGTTTAAACATTTTTTTTTTTACATCAGTAAAAAGGAAATATTGAAGACCCCCAAAGACTTTTACGTCTATGGAAACTTACCATACTAGACATTAAAACCAGGATTTAAAAAATGTATTCACTTAAAATAAAAAAAAACCCTTCAACATGTTAACATAAATAGCAGGTTTATAAATAAATAAATAACCTTTCCAAAGTAAAAAAAAAAGTTAGTTCTCAGAGTAGCAGTGTATTTTTGCAAATCTCTTAAATGTCTAATTTAACAGAAGAGCGCTGGATTCTCTTTAACGTACATTTAATTTCTTGCAAGCTCATATGCCATCTAGCCTCTGAATACTTCACTGTGTGAGAGATGGCAGTGGAAAAGGCAAATAGCATCCTAGTACCATTAATGAAAATAGTTTTTTCCTCATGAACTTGCTGAAAGGTTGTTGGGACTACCACATTTTGAGATACTTTGTGGATTATTTTTTGAACTTCATGAAATAATAGTTGTTTTACAAATCTTGCTTCAGATTAAAAGTGATATTTTTAACACATGAACTCACTGAAGGGAGAAACTAGGAGATGTAAATGAACTGAAAAAAATTCATCATTTGTTAAAAAAAATATGAACATGACAATTTTATGATTGGTAGAGACTCAGCAAAGTAAAGTTATTTTAACACCTATTTATTGAAGGATCTCCCAGTATAAAAAACGCCAAATAAAGAGAAGTCATAGAGTTTGTAGATGGAAGGATCACCAGGATTTCTTAAAAGCAGTGAAGTTGTGCACTTAAACTGACAGAGACAAGGCAGGCTTTTCTGCACACAATCGTTTGATGTGGTAAACCACATAATGCTCACATTATGAGTATATGGCGTTGGTTTTTCACACAGGGAAAAAAAACAAACATACCTATATGTCTTCTTGTCATTTCTACTGTAGCATTTCGGTTGACGTTGGAGAGTAAACCTAAGCAGAATCTCTCTGAATTTGATGGATCTGTGAAGCCGTCTACAGTAAGTGAGGGCTGTGATGCATGGAAGGTCTCTCCAACCCTCTGGTTTAATTCATAATAGGCTATTGAACACCAAAATGCAGGTTCTGAGTATGTAACTGGCTGCAAGTCTAGGGCAGAGGAAACCAAACCCATAAGAGTAAGAAATGTTGTGTGAACAATTCAAGCTAAGAACAGGCTGAATATTATCATCTTTACATGCTCTATGCCAGCCTATCCTGGTAAAAGCTCAGGAAGTAGATCTAACTTCTACGTCATGAACTCCAGTTTTAGTAGATCATACCAGATTTTCAATTTTTCAATTTCCCCCATCTCATTAAGACATCCAGTCTTCAAACTTAATAAAGCTAATTTTTGGTAGAATTAAGTGGAATAAAGCTGGAGCAAGAATTAATATAGTCGATGGCCACAAGAAGGAAAAATGTCACAATAATAGGATACAAAATGACATACTTTTGACATTTGTCTATTTTAATATCAAATCTTCAGGGGTTACCCTAATTACAAAAATATAAAGCACCCCCTTATACACACACACATAAAAATAAATAAATACAAAGAATGTGCAAGTAGAAACAGAACATGGATTCAAAAGAATCTATATATTGCATGGGAAAACTAGGATCACATGTATTTAAGTTCTATAATTTTGATTATAAACCATCACAAGGAATATCATTTAAAAAATGACCATTTTTATAGAATAAAATCCAAATGTATCAAATGAAGAGAAATTGTGAAATAGCAAAATAGTCCAAAAATAAACTACAGAATACTTATACACACACACATGTACACACACATGCACACACACTAGCTCTCACACAGCCCCCAAACCACATACTTGTGGTATGTATACACATATTTACCTCTTATATTAATAATTGCTATTATAATATATATCATAAAATAACATACCCACAAATATCTAGTCGTAATGTCATAAAATTTACTGTGACTAAAGAATATGGTTTCCATGAATAAACAGATTATAATTTCTTATATGTGCCAGTAGAAAAGCGGTTTAGTAATATTGAGGCACATTACCAGTATCATTTTTAAAAAGCACTAACTTGAACAATTACTCGGTTATTTATGGGCTCCCTTTCTCATATATAAAATAATGGCCAAGAGGACATTTAAATAATACAGTATAAAAAAAAAAACAGTGGAGGGAAAATATTTGCAACTTACCCAAACTATGATTAACAGGGGAAAGAGTAGTAGGAGATAGTTCTGCTGGGGATCCTGAAATAAAAGAAGTTAATTTAAAAACAGATATGAAGTATTTCCAGAACTTCTGACCAAATAATACAATAGATTATAATTAAGCATCACAAATAATAAATAATTTACATCCCAAGCATTATAAATATATAGCTGCTTGGTTCTGGTAGGGTAGCTCAGCTGGTTAAAGTATTGTCCTGATAGGCTAATAAGGTTATGGGTTCGATCCCTGGTCAGGATACATACAGGAATCAACCAATTAATTCATAAATAAGTGGAACAGATCAATGTTTCTTTCTCTCTCTAAAAATCAATAAATATAAATTAAAAAAGATATACAGCTGCTTTATGTTAGTGTAATTTTGGAGGCTTCAATATATAAAAGGTAAAAAAGGCGTAAAACAGCCCTAACCGGTTTGGCCTAGTGCTGGGGTCCAACCCCAGCAGGTCCAGGGGTCCCCAAAGGTGTGGACGGAGTCGGCGAAGAAGGAATGACATAGAGGCAGCATTCAGTTCATCAGCGGCCTAGCTAGGATCTCTAGCCAAGTTCTGGTCAGGATCTCCAGCGAAGTTCTGGTTAGGATCTCCAGCCAGGTTCTGTGTCCATGTTCTCTTGCTAGGTTCTCCAGGTTCTCCAGCCAGGTTCTGTAGCCATGTTCCCTCGCTAGGTTCTCCAGCCAGGTTCTGTGTCCATGTTCTCTTGCTAGGTTCTCCAGGTTCTCCAGCCAGGTTCAGTCACCAGGTTCTAGTCAGGTTCTCTTGCCAATTTCTGTAGTCAGGTTCAGTCCAGGATCTTTTGCCATGTTCTCTCGCTAGGTTCTGTCTCTAGGTTCTGAGGCCAGTTTCTGCCCAGGATCTTTTGCCATGTTCTCTCCAGCGAAGTTCTTCTGTCTCTAGAGAACGTTCTGTGGAGGTTCTGTGTCTCCTGGTTCTGTCTCTCTTGGTTCCGTATTCTAAGTTCTGTGTCTTGCTGTCTTATTACATCTGTATTTATACCAGTTGATTCAATCCTATCAATCTCTATTACAAAGGTTAGGGCGTTTCTTATCTCCATTCCAGTGAGTAAAGATTATGTAGCTTAAGCATGATTGTTCGTAGTTAAAGTGATTAATTACCCACCTGGCACTAGTTAAGAGGTTTTATTCCCTCCCTAACTTCAGGGGAAAATCCCTACCTGGGGAAACAACCTTTCTCAGAGACCTTGGTTAAAACACATAGTGCCAAGAAGGTGAGCAAACATATTAAGAACAGTATGCCATATATGCCAGGTCCTTTGAAACAGCAAGGATGGACCGGCTCCCAGCAGCCTAGTGGATAGAGCATCGGCCTGCGGACTGAAGGGTCCCAGGTTCGATTCCGGTCAAGGGCATGTACCTTGGTTGCAGGCACATCCCCAGTGGGGGGTGTGCAGGAGGCAGCTGATCGATGTTTCTTTCTCATCAATGTTTCTAACTCTCTATCCCTCTCCCCTTCCTCTCTGTAAAAAATCAATAAAATATATATATTAAAAAAAAAGGGCGTAAAACAGTCCTAGCTTCTAGTCACAGAGTTCCCCTTCCCAAAGGCATCCAGTGTTTTTTTCCTAAAATAATCTATGTATCAAGTAAGTAAATATATTCTCTTCTGTGCCCCCTGTTCTTTATATACAAATGTAATATAGTTCTTAACTTTGCTTTTAAAAGATTGAAAGATTGCAATGACTAATTTGCACATTTTGCATACTTTCAATTACACCTGAAGGACAGACTCTTAAAAGAGGAACTGCCAGGTCAAAGGGCCGTGGTTCCATCATTTTGATAGATTTTGTCAAAATTGTCACCTATAGAGCTTATACTGGTTCGCATTCCCAGTAACAACAAATGGTGAGGGGACGCTCATGTTATTGTTAATAGATAAGAACATGGCCTTAAAAAGTACAGTTTTAATTTGTGTTTCTCTTATAAATGACATTGAGTAGCTTTATACTTATTTATATTGTATTTCCTTTTTGTGAATGGTCTGTTCTTTTCCTTTGTTCTTTTCTCTACTGTGGTTCTAATCACTTTTCTTACTGACCTATAGAAGGCTCTTTATGTTTAGGCATCTTAGTTAGCCCTTCCATGCTATGAGTTGCAAATATCTGATTGTTTTATGACTCTTCACCCTAATTCTGATTAAGCAGTATTAAAAAAAAAACAACTTATGTGATATAACTTACCAAGCATTTTGAGATTTATCACACTTTGGTAAAACAGTGGTAACAATGGATATTCTTGTTTTACTCTTAACTTTAAGAGAATACTTCTAGTATTTTCCCATTAAGTATAATGCTGGCTTTGATAATGAGAGAGATAACATTGCTTATTTGGGATTTTTAGATCAATACTTCCAACCAATACTGGTCTGCAGATTTACATTGCAAGTGCAATATATACTACTTCATAATTATAATCTAGAAGCTGTATGCCTTTCTTATGCTCTCTAACAGTTTAAAGAGCATTTTAATAACACATTCCTTAGTAGTTTGATAGAGATTCTGTGTCAGATTGTTTGCAGTTAAACATTTTCTAGGGTTTATTCTAAGACATTTCTCTATTTCTTCTATGACAGTTGATAGCTCTATTTTTTGGAGTCAGTTTGGTAGGTTATATTTTCTTAGAAAATTACTCATGACTTCCAGTTCTAGGTAAGCAAGCTTACTCTAATCAAGAACATATGGGGAGAGGGCACAGATATACAAAATAAGAAAAAGACGGTAGAACTGCAGACACAGAAGAAAAAAAGCAAAAAACCAAAAAAAAACACAAAAAAACAAAACACAAAACCACTCAATACCACACAACTAATTTAAATACATTTGTTGTAAATTTGTTCAATAGTTATATATAATTAGAGGCCCGGTGCATGAATTTGTGCACTATTGGGGTCCCTCAGCCTGGACTGCAGGATTGGGCCAAAACTGGCTCTCCGACATCCCCCGAGGGGTCCTGGATTGTGAGAGGGCACAGGCCAGGCTGAGGGAGCCCACTGGTGCACCATCGGGGCCAGGGAGGGACACGGGAGGTTGGTCCAGCTGAGGAGGGACTGTGGGAGGGCTCCAGGGCGTGTCCGGCCCGTCTCACTCAGTCCCGATAGGCCAGGCCCCGGCAGCAAGCTAACCTACAGTTCGGAGTGTCTACCCCCTGGTGGTCAGTGCACATCATAGCGAGTGGTTGAGCAGCCTTAGCATATTATGCTCTGATTGGTTGAATGGCTGACCAGACACTTAGCATATTAGGCTTTTATTATATAGGATTATAAATTTTGTTTTCTGATCATCATTTTCTATACCTTTTGGAAAAGTTATATAAAAAAAACATGACCAACAGCTCCCAAGCTTCACATATATAGAAATGGCATAAACGTAGAATAAGACAGGTCAGACCCCCTGTGTACCTCTCCTCCCCACACTATTATAACCATGACACAAAATACCAGGCAGCACAAGTAAAATGGTAACCCCAATAAAAAACAAACAACAACAAAAAAAACAGATGAATAAAAAAGAGAACAAATGAAAATTTTTAGAATTAGAAGAGAACAGTTTTCCATAACAAAATTAAGTTCTCAGGTTCTTTATTTGTTCCTCATTTTGAAAAATCTGTTGGCAAGTCCCAGCAGGTACAACTAAGAAAGGTCAAAATATATTTAGAACAATAAAATAAAACTCACTGCTGTTTCCTGAAGCTGTTATAAAATAAACAAAGCTACTATTAGACATGGAGGAAACTGCCCAATTTTTAACTTTTTAAATACTTATCAGAAATGACCAGTAGTTACATTTCATTAATATAAACTAGCAGGAGTTCACTCAGAAGTGATATAAAGAATTTAGGAATTACAAAAAGAAAGATTCATTATAATCATACATATATGGATATATATACATAGATATATATAAAGTTTTTAAAAGTTCAATTAAGGTAACAATTTATTAACTAACCAAAGTTTTTTGAAACATTTTTACAAAGACAGGTTAACTGACAATTAACCTACTAGTTATTCATATATACATATTGTTACTAAGGTCTGGAATTTCCTATTATGAGAAATAAAAAAATATCCTATTTCACTGGTTTGAATCATCGGTTTCTGTTACTTTTAGCTAAAACATCTACAGAAATGCTTGTGCATGTATCACTGTATGCCAGTTCTATGTTACTCTCTAGTATTATCTTATTCACAACACCCACCATCCAATCAAAAAAACATGAGAATGCAAAGTAGAAATAAAATGATCCAGAAGCAGACCTATATAAAATCAGATACTGAAATTATCAGATTAAGAGTTTAAATGAATCCCTAGCCAGTTTGGCTCACTGGATAGAGCGTTGGCCTGCATACTGAAGAGCCGAGGGCTCCATTCTGGCCCTGGTTGGAGCTCATGTGGGAGACAACCAATCAATGTGTCTCTCTCATATCAATGTTTCTCTCTCTGTCTCTACCCTTCCCTCCCACTTTCTGAAAATCCATGGAGAAAATATTCTCAGGTGAGGATTAACAACAACAACAAAAAAGTTTAAATGAAAATTGTAAAACTGAAAAATAAGATGATCTAAAATGAATTCACTATTTTGGTTTAACAGCAGACCATAAGTTAGACGCACACACACACATTATCACTTGATTTTCACCAAAGAATCCAAGGTAAATCAACAGAAAAATAAAGCCTCCAACAAATGGTACCAACACAACTAGACAAATGTCTACGCAAAGGAATGAAGAGCAGAAATGTGTGCAGTAGTTCCCTAATTCACGGTTTCACTTTTCGTGGTTTCAGTTACCTGTAGATATGAAGCATCCCTCTGCCCAGCATATTCACACTATATACGCTACCCACCCATTAGTCACTTAGTAGCTGCCTAGGTTATCAAATGGACTGTTGTGGAATTGCAGTGCTGGTGTTTAAGTAACGATTATTTTACTTAAAAATGGCCCTAAACACAAGAATAGGGATCAACCAAAGAGAAGCCTTAAAGTGCTTCCTTTAAGTGAAAAGGTGAGTACAGTAAGATATTTTGAAGAGAGACCACATTCAGATAATTTTTATTACAGGATATTGTTATAATTGTTCTATTTTATACTAGAGGCCCGGTGCACAACATTTGTGCACTGGGGGGGTGTGGGGGTCTCTCAGCCCAACCTGCACCATCTCCAATCTGGGTACCTTCAGGGGAGCCCTCTCCAATCTGGGAGTTTCTGTCTGTCTTTGCAATCATATGACTGAACTGTCTGAGACCCCAAATCAGTTTGGTTTGTTGCTCACAGAATAATAGAGGCATTTTTTTTTTCTTTGCTTCATTGGTAGAGATTTCCTGGAAGTTTTAGGATATCTTCCCTTTAATTTTTCCTAGACACTCTGATTTTACTTATGTCTCTCATCTTTGCTTTCCCTCCATTCCCCATCACAACAGTAACTTGCTCCACGCTCACTTTGCTCTAGTGTCTAGGGCAGCCGTGGGCAAACTACGGCCCGCGGGCCGGATCCAGCCCGTTTGAAATGAATAAAACTAAAAAAAAAAGACCGTACCCTTTTATGTAATGATGTTTACTTTGAATTTATATTAGTTCACACAAACACTCCATCCATGCTTTTGTGCCGGCACTCCGGTCCAGTTTAAGAACCCATTGTGGCCCTCGAGTCAAAAAGTTTGCCCACCCCCGGTCTAGGAGATCCGTCTGCCACCAAAACTACTATTCCCAGAATTCCTGGTGCTCCCCGTGATCTTGGTTTTCCCTTCCTGCTCTGTCTCCGTCCCATGGCCTCCCACTCTGACAAGCTCTCCCTCTCTGCTCTCAGCCCGGCGCCTGTGTATGCAAAATAACCTGCCAGCTTTGTCTGGTTAATTTGCATACTCACTCCTGATTGGCTGGTGAGCGTAGCAGAGGGATGGTCAATTTACATGTTTCTAGTTTATTATATAGGATTGTCGTTAACCTTTTACTATGGCTAATTTACAAATTAAACTTTATCCTAGGTATGTATGTATAGGAAAAAAACATCCTATATAATAAAAGACTAATATGCAAATCGACCAAATGGCATAACAACCGGTCACTATGATGCGCACTGACCACCAGGGGGTATATGCTCAACGCAGGAGCTGCTCCCTGGTGGTCAGTGCACTCCCACAGGGGGAGCGCCACTCAGCCAGAAGCCAGGCTCATGGCGAGTGCAGTGGCTATGGTGGGAGCCTCTCCCACCTCCTCAGCAGCACTAAGGATATCTGACTGCCAGCTTAGGCCTGCTTCCCATTGAGCGGGCCTAAGCTGGCAGTCAGACATTCCCTGAGGGCTCTTGGACTGCAAGAGGGCACGGGCTGGGTTGAGGGACCCCCTCAAGTGCACGATTTTCGTGCACTGGGCCTCTAGTAGTATATATAGGGCTCTGTATGATCCACTATTTCAGGCATCATTAGGGGGTCTTAATTCCTGCAGATATGGAAGGACTAGTGTATATTCATTTTATTGTTCTTGCCACACACATTTCAGCTATATTATAAAATAGGCATTTGTACACCAATTGGATCCTTGTGGTCTTTTGTGTCTGGGTTCTTTCACTTAATACTTTCAAGGTTATTCCATGTTGTACCATGGATCAGTACTTCATTCCTTTATATGGTTGAACAATAGTCCAATGTATGGATTTAATTTATCCATTCATTATTTGATGGATAATTGGGTTGCTTCCACTTTTACGTGAACACTTGGGATACAAGTTTACCATGGGTGTGTACAAAATTACTTTTCAATTTTCTTGGGCATATATCTAGGAGTGAGCTTGCTAGGTTATATTGTTATTCTATAATTTAATTTTTGAGGAACAGCAAATTTTTCCAAAGCAACTTAACTATTTTATACTTCCACCAGAACCATATGAAGACTCCAACTTCTCCATATCCCCATCAACACTTGTTATTATCCTTCTCTTTTTATTATGACCACTAGAGGCCCAGTGCACAGATTAGTGCACAGGTGGGGTCCCTCGGCCTGGCCTGCAAGGACTGGGCCAAAACCAGCTCTGCAACATCCCCTGAGGGGTCCCAGATGGTGAGAGGGTGGTTCTCAGGTGACGCACCCCGGAAATGGGCTCCCTCCTCTCTGGTTCAAGGTGCATCACCCCTACATTGAGATGTTCCTGCATTGAGTGTCTGCTCCCTAGTGGTCAGTGCACGTCATAGCTACCGGCCAGTCGGCAGGTCACTTAGCCCTTTATATATATAGATTCCAGTAGGTGTAAAGTGGTATGCCACTGGCTTTCATTTGTGTTTCCCTGATGGCTATCATGGCATTCACTTTTAAATGTAGAGTAGCAGTTAACCATCATGGGGCAAACAGGAACATGGTTGATTCAGGAATACAATTCTTCAATATACAGGTGGGTTAGAAAGATACATCTGAAAAGCCAAATATCACTTGCAGAAAGACATTTGCATTTCCAACAATCATTAGATTATCTATCTTTCTTGGTTATCTACTACTCTGAACACCTGTAAGTATGATTAGCTATAGTAGAAGCTTCCTTACCTGGAAGTCTAAATAATGGAAGGATTTAAACAACAGAATTATTGTAAAAGCCTGCCCACCCCAACTTCCCCCCACCGCCAATGTTAATTCATTTAAGAATAACTTAGATTATCATAACCGCAGAATGCTTTACTATAAACTGTAGAAATTTGTCAGGTTGTAATTTTAAGGTGTCCAATCCTTAAGATACTGACAGGTTGAAATGGATCAAAACAGACAATTACAATGACATCTATTTCACTAGCAACCTATTAGTTCTGGTGGATTATACATTATTACATAACAACTGTTTTAAAGCTTTGAGGTGCATAATATTTATTATATATTGAAACGTATTCTCCATTGTGTTTGGAATCGATAGCTGAATTAATTAGAAAGTAATTTCATTAGGTGAGGTACAAGATACTTTTTGTAAACAGTCTACTATAATTCAGAACTCACTCTTATGTTAAAAGAGCACTGAAAGATGAGTCACATCCCTTACTTCCAATTTCCTCTGAAAATCTGTTATTGGGCCAATTATGAGCTTTCATCACAAAGATATTTAATCACAGGATAACTAAAACTTTCAACAGAATCACAGAATATTTACAAAGAGAAATAACCGAGTGTTCTCAAATTCTTATTTACTCTAACAAGAACAAATTTTACCAATTATTCTGCTGAGCAGCATATGTTAATTTTTCATGGACAACAGGGTCCTTTGATGGCTCAAATATAATTAATTCAAGATAAAAAAATTTTTTGATGTGTCCCAACTTCTCTAAATTTAAGAGTTATGAATAACTCATGTGAGTTTCAAATAAGGCAAAAATGGTTATCTAATTGCTAAGGTATTTTGAAAGATTTTTTTTTTTTTTTTACCTGTATCCATACTTTGGTTCAACTGTTGATCACTTGTTTCTCCATCTTCACTGATATATCCAGGAGGTGGTGTTTCTACATAAATTTAGAACAAATCAAGTACAGTTACAATTTAATCTCACCTTTTCTACCAGCTACCAAAGATAACCCAACGAAACGCTCTGATTAACAAACACAAATGTTATGTAACGTCATTATAAAAAGCAGTATTGGATACTAAGAACTTAGAATTCAGGCTCTGGTCCAAACCTTATAGGCAAAACCTTAAAGCCTACTTGAAATACAATTGAGCTGTCTGGGCATATTTTCTTAACTATTATTTACATATCTGGCTCATTCTCCTATGTATATTTTCTGGGGCAAGAGCCAAAAATATAACTTCAAAGATACCTCAGTTCTGGATCAGTATATTTCAAAGACATTAGTACCTACAATGTGTTTTGCTTTTTTTTTTTTTAAACTAATGGCCACCATGGATGAGTATTTAGATGACTAAAGGAATCTCCCCCTTGCCCCTCAGCCTCACCACACACACACACACAATTTCAGATTACAGAGTAATACAGGCTTACATCTTCCACTAAGTTTTATAGGGCAAAATATGGTAATATACTTCAGGACTGGTCTTGAATTCTACCAAAAAGTGTATTTCTCCAAAGATTCCTAAGCAGTAATTAATTCCTGAATATTAAAGCAGAAAATTAAATTCAAATACAGATTACTGCACAAAACGGAGGCAAAATACTCCCTGAAAATAAATAAGATTCCAGTGTGCCATTTCCAATATGTTTATTCAGGAGGCATATGAATACCTGAATAAGCTTCGTGTAAAATAAAAACATTTATACAATTTTAACAATTACAATTTTGAATGAAAAATAAGTTTAAATGATTATCAACGGTTTAATATATACATTGCTGGAAGTTTTAAGCAATTCAAATAATGCAGACACATACTTTAAAAGAATTCTGTAATTACATGTGGAGGAGAAAGAAGAGGGTTAATGGTTTTCTTCATTTATCTTTTTTTTAAAAAAATATACTTGTATTGATTTCAGAGAGGGAGAGGGAGAGATAGAAACATCAATGATGAGAGAGAGTCATTGATTGGCTGCCTCCTGCACACCCCTCCTGGGGATCGAGCCCACAACCTGGGTATGTGCCCTTGATCGGAATCGAACCTGGAACCCTTCAGTCCACAGGCCAACACTATCCACTAAGCTAAACCACCTAGGGCTCTTCATTAACCTTTTCAATCTCCCTTCAATAAGCTAACTACAAATTTTAACTTCTTAATATCAAACTCTTAAGTGTCAATACCCCAAAATTTTTAATACTGAAATTCTAAGAATACTTTCATATGTTCAAACAATGAAGAACATGAAAGAGTAATATATAACCATTATGCACTATTTCAAAGGTTAAAGGTGATAAAATTAAACAGAGCTAAGCTTTGCCAGTCTAACTGCCTATGTCTCAAATTCTAAGTAGAAATACTTTTAAATACTTTATCCTAGTTTATTTTTCACCATTTTTATCTGTAAAATAATAATAAAGTCATTAGCATTTTGGAGAAAATATTAAATTTTCTTTAGAAATGGAATAAAAAGCGAAACCTTAGGTTTTACTATCAGTCAGAGCTGGGTAAACCCCACTGTCCAAAAAAACACAAATAGGTACATTTCATTTTTTATTTCCTTCTTTGTAAAATACCCAAATCTAAACAAATAGAGAAAACACAAGTTCAAACATCTCCACAAATGAAAGCCACTAAGCATTTTGATTAACATCCTTCCAAATAATTATGGGTACATGGTCTTATAAGACTGTATGCTTACTGGTACCTCAGTTTCCTAATATTGCTAAGTCCCACTTCAAAGACTTAAAATGGCTCTCCCTCTCCTCATGCCACACACACAACTCTAGTTTCAGCAAACTCTCTCTAGGAAATGTCCTGTTTTAGTCCTATTTCCCCATCATCCTAGCTCTCATACTGCATTCCACTCATCACTACTTCCTAACTTAAAAAGTTTGTTTCCTAGCAACCCAAAGAGCAGTCTTAAATTCCTATTTTGTAATAAAATAGTAATTAAAGAAATGCACATTTAAACAATCAGAAGATACTTCCTAACTTTAAAATTAACTATTTGGAAAAATCCTTATGTTTTAAAAATTGTCTTCAATGAACAGGCATTATCTTCATGATGAAACACATTAAAGAAATGTTTTATGTGCTTGAAAATCTAAGTTCCTTACATATTTTCAGTTGTATAAAAAAATAAGAGTGGGATAGAGGAATATTGCAAAAAGAGAAGCAAATTAACACCAAAAAATCCAATGTATACATTGGATTTAATCTTCATCCTAGTATACCTTTAGTTTCTGCTAAAAGGTGGAGGGGCAGAAAAGTAAGAAAACATTAGTTGTTCTCCTAAAAAATTGTGAAAAATTAAGGGTAGGCAGCTACCGTATCATGGAATATGTTGTTAGATCCCATAATACAATAATTAAGGCAGAAGTTACTGAGGCCCAGATTAAAAAGAACTAAAATACTTCATCTCCCACAGAAATGTTACACCTCTCTTAAACGTTATCTATGAAAGTAATTATTTGGTCAATTTTTAATTACATTTGTTTCAGGAATAGTTTTTTCCTGTATCATTTATTTTGCTTACATTCTATATCTCTCTTAGCTTCAACAACTAAGATAAACTTACTAAGATCTTTTCTTTTCTGCTTCTCAGAGTACTTTGATTAAAGCCACTGCAAAAGAAAATGAAATATAAAGTAAAACTTTTCTCCAGACAAAAATGTTTAATGTACGAGGTTTATACATTTCACAAAAAATAATCACCCAATAGATATTTTTCTATTTAAAATCCAAAAGAATTTTTTAAAAAGTCAAACCACAGCTTACAAATGCTTGAAAGTTTATGAATAAAATTTGTATCTATCCCAATTTTAGGAGGTTCAGAAAGCAAAATACCTGGAATGTAATTACTCTGGGGCTCAATTCCCGCTGGGAAATTAGTGTTTTCTGGAATGGAGTGGGTATAGTCATCCAGAGGCGGTAGTTCTGTTAGGATCTCAGTGTGCCGTGGTACTAACACAGGAGGCAAAACTAAAAAGTAAAAACAATCCAAGTTAATGGCAAGGAGCAAGGGGTAGGGAACAGGACCTTTATTAAAAGTTTTCACACACAAAAAAAGAAAGTAGCCTGCTTAATTTTTAAAATTTAGGGTCCACCTATTTGGTATTATACAAGTTATAATTTCTGATTATGATTTTAACTTACCATATAGTTCACAATAATTTCCAAGACCCAATTTATCTTGTACTTTTCGATACTAGGTGATCCTGGTAATATTATATTACCATGAAAAGTTAAAAAATCCCCATTAGAAAGGTTGCAAAAAGATTTATAAAATCAAATTTTCTAAAAATACAGCTATAGTCTTAAAACGTTTCAAGTTCACAGCTAAGTAAAGGTAAGTCTTTCTATATGAGTTTTACTAAATTGCTTAGATAGGAATAACGTCATTGAAATTCCTTAACAACAACAACAACAACAAAAAACCCAGAGAGAAAAATGACTGAAAACAGTTAATGCAGCAGACAGGTAAACAAATTCATAAGCTTATTTCTAAGCAGACTGGAATTTCCTATACTTCGATGTGAACTAATATGCTATCCCAAGAAACCATCTTTTCCACTAAGTTATATTTTTGATAAAATATTTTTTTTAATTGTAAAGTATTTTTAATGACCACCAAATAATATACTGAATTTAAGGTAATTTATTAGAATCTTACACCAAAATTTTCCTGGGTCAACTAGATATAATGAACACCTAATATACTTAAGTTCAAGCATTTAATTTTTTTTAAAAACCTACTTTTCCTACCTGGTGTCTCAACTCTCTGGTAGTGGTAAGGGTTTACACATACTTCATCCTTTTTAAGATTAAAAGCATATTCGCAGTTTTCAATTGCTTTGAGTTCATGATGACTATGAAGATCAGGCCAGCGCCATAATCGGCAATATATAACGTGTGGCAGTCCTTTCCGATGAGATACCTGAAGACGACCATCAAGAGACCTATTGGGAAGCAAGGGGAAAAGAAAGGTGGGAGCTTTAAAAAAACAGAAATAGTCAAATGGACTAAATTAGTACAATAAAAGCATAAAGAAAAAAATGACAGACATTCAGTTAGTTTTAGTGAATACAAGGAAGAAAAATGTACTGAATAATATACTGAATTTAAGGTATTTTATGGATCTGATAAAAGAAAGCAGCAGCTCTAGCAGATGTTTCTTAAAACATGTTACACAAATGACTTCAGTGTCAGTGAATGGATAACCATTTGGGAAAACTAGATTTTAAGTGTATTATATAGTTACACTTGAAAAACTTAGTCAACTTTTATCTTTAATAAATCAAACTGTTATTTAGGGATTCTTTTAGGGGCATTAATTCTGTAGGTGACTGAATTATCAAAAAAGGAACTACTGTGAAGAATGGCAAATACCAACAATGATATAAAACTTACTCAAACTAATGTAACTCATTACCCAATTGTGATTGTATTGAGTACAGGGAGGTATTATTTCTATAGCTCACACATAAATGCAGATGGTGATGAGTATGATGAGATGAAATGGACAAATACCAATATGTTTAAAAAGAGAATGAGGTGATTAAAAAAAGATAACATAAAAAAACAAGTTAGCCTTGTGTTGTGTTCAGTAATCAACTATGTACTTATTAGTATACAGATGAGATTAGTATACAAGAAATGTAGCAAACCTGGTTATGTATCTATTTAAAAATTAGGCCAACAAGAGATCTCAAACTGAAATGAGAATATAGTTATCAGAGTTTCTATTCTTTAGGGGATTCAATAATTTAAAGATTCAAAATTAGAATTTCATTGATCAAAACTTCAACTGAAACATTTAATAATACTTTTAATATCGGCAAGCAGGTATTTTAAATGCTATGCCTTATTTTACATTAGGGTAACATCCTAGGCAAAATTATATTAAGCAACCCCACTATAGGTCTTCCAAATACCCCCCGCCCACAAGATTGCTAGGATTTGACAGAGGGCAGAATATTCACCTGGTTTGTTCAGAGAAGCTGTAAAGGCCTGTTGTATCCCACTGATCTATCGTATTTGGTGTACTCAGTCCCCAAATTTCAGAGCAAGTGCTGTGCATAAATTGAAAAACAAAAAATTGATGTGAACATGGAAGCATGGTTATTCAAAATACCATGATGTAAAACATGAAAAATGTACAGAATACTTCCTTCACTGAGAAAATATACATTGCTTCATGTTTTCACAGGCATTTAGTACTGATTTCTATATTTTCTATATGAAGGAAGCCAATAAAATGGAACATGTGACTCCAGATAAGTTATGATTATGTTTTTAAAATGTGAACACCAATGCTCTCTAGCTTAATGAAATCATACCTATAATGTCCTTTTCAATTTCCTCTACTCACAACAAAAGATCTAATACCTATGTCATTAGCCTTACTAACAGTGCTTCATTTTATAATCCAGTTTTTAAAAAAACTTATGTAAACACAAATGTCAACTCATATTTTAAATACAGGAAAAATTCCAATTAAAACAGACATATATCTACAGTTAAGATTTTCAAGTTATTTGAAATACTTATATATTCAGTTTTACAGAAATTATTGGTCTTTTATCACAACAAAGGACAAGGAAGTAGATTTTGAAATCATTCTAATGTAGCATACCATCTTAAAAATTTTAAGAAATTTCTATAAGGACTAAAGATATGTGAAAGCACCAAATTCTTAAAAGATAGTATGAATATGAAAACTTTGTTGTATCTAGTTTTTTGTTGTTGTTTTTTAATCAGTATACCCGAAAGCCACAGAGCAAAAAGAGCTCAAAATTTTTCTCCCACATTCCTTTTCAGAACCTGGGCAGTCTAGAGATAATTTTTCCTGTTTCCCCTGTTACTATTGCATTTCACAGTAACTTCTCATCCAGGGGAGAAGGGAAGAAGAGGACCTTAAAAGCTGTCTAGCACGAACTCTTAACCACCAAGTTGTCTCAGGTCCTAAGTTTTTACTTTAAAAAATTAGAGTCAAAAAAGGTAATTAAATTCCAGATGTACACACTACTAATGAACACTTCAAAGGCAATGTGAAAAGTGCTGTCTTCCTGTGGCTGGGCAGCACACATCCATCACGTGGGGTGCTGGGCCTCTTGCATAACCACTGGGATGCAGAAACATCTCATGCCATGCTTTGGGGCTACAGTAACTGTAATTCTAGACAGTTTAAGAAAATGTATTTTTGGACACTGTCCAGCACCTTGAGATACTTTAAAGATTCTCTGGGTTCTTAGGCTGCAGACATCTATCTTTCATTTCCCAAGCTGCAAGTCAGAAAAAGCCCAAAACCTGGAAGATAATTTAGACCTTTTCTTCCCCCGACCCCTAAATGTGTACTGACTAAAAAAAGGTAAAATAAATGGTTCTTTTATTTAAGATAGTTGTCAAATAGCTACTGGAACAATATAGCACCATGTAGTTTAAATTACAATAAAAGCAACTAAAGTCTAGAGTCTTATGAATCTAAATTTAAACCTCAGAAGGAACAGGACACAACTTACTCTTCTTTCTTGGACAATAATTCAAGAAAGGTAATTAACAAAAGATCAGACCAAGGGGCTATTCTGCTCTTATGAAGACCAGGCTGAACATTTCACTCCAATAACTCTGGGACTGACACATGAACCAGAATCTAAAAGGGCATGAAGAGCTAAAGTTGTGCTTTATTCAAGCTTTGTTAAAAACATGCAATCAGTGTAGAGGCAAACAGACCTAAATCCCAACTTTAACTCTGATACTTTCCAAATGCCATCATAGGGTATTAAGCCTCAATTCTATCCACTTTTATATCTCTCTCACAAAATTGGGAAGTTTATTTAAAAATAAATTTACTTCTAGTTAGTAAAATTTTTGCTTGGTTATATAGGAAAAAATATTTTTAAAACGAATTAATTTATAATAAAATATACAAAACACCTAGAAATAATGTTAACTATAAATGTGTCAAAACTACAAAAGTAACATTTTAATTATCAAAGAACACAAAAGTAAACTGAACAAAGAAAAATACATTTTCCTACAAAAGGCAACACCATATGGACATCAATTCTGCCCAATTTATATATTCAATGCAATCTAAATTACATGTTAATAAGTTTTTAACCCAGACAAAATTATTCCAAAAATAACATACCAAAATAAACAAGAATGACCAGGAAAACTCTGACAAAGAAGAATAGAGACTGGCCCTACCAAATTCTGAAACGCATTAAATTCTCAATAATGAAAGCATTATGCAATTAGCAAAAGAATACACAAGTAAAACAGAAAAGAAGTTCTGCCTTTGAGTATAGCCTTTATTAGGCAAAACTTCCTTTGGATAAAAAGGATAGCCTCTGAACGTAATAAAATCAACTATCTGAAAATATAATAAAATCAACTACCTGAAAATAGTTGATACCAAAAACAAATAAAAATGGAAATCAACCTCTGTAAGAGAGAAAACATATTGGATGAGAACTGCATTTGTGGCTTTGTACAACCAGTGGCACCCACAGTCTAAGCTAGGCAGTGTAATTAGACCTTAAGCAGAAAACTGCATTTTACTGACCAGCAGAATCAGACAAGGGAATTGGAAGGGGGCTGGAAAAAGAACAGGAAAATCCTGTAAGGAAGGAGCAAAAGGGGGAAAAACATCAATATATGTATGAACACTGCCCAAATCCTTGTTGACGCCTAAATTACACATGCAGGAGAGAAGGTGGGAGACTGCTGAGAACTACCACTTGGAAGTCCGAAAAAACTCAGCTGAGATTTAAACTGTTACTTACATCAGAGGCAAACAATCTGGACAGTGAGGCCACCCAAAACTATCAACACTCTTCAGAGGAAGATAACAGAATTTAGAGTCTCTACAATGTTCTGTCCCCCAAATCCACTATAAAACCACAAATTACTAAACATGTGAAGAAATAGGAAAATGTTACCACTTAGTCAAAAGAGAAAAGAGCCAGCAGAAACAGACCCCCACCATGAACTATCAGACAAGGTTTTACAGTAACTATTATGAATATGTTCAAGGACTTAATGAAGAGATGGGAATCTCAGCTGAGTAATAGGATCTATAAAATGAATCAAATGGGAATTCCAGAACTGAAAATTACAAAATCAGAACTAAAGAATTACCCTGACTGTTGGAAGAAAGAAGAGACAGTGACTTTAAAGATGGATCAATAGAAATTATCTAACTAAAAAAAAAAGCAAATTAAAAAGGCTGTATAAAAAAATAAACAGTCTCAGTAACTTGCAGTCCCAGAAAGAGGGGAAGCAAGAACAGACCAGAAAAAAATATTTAAAATAATAATAGCTGTAACAGTTTACAAGTATGTTCACGTTAGAGTCTCACGCAAAGTCCTGCAGTTATCATCCTATCTAATAAAAGAGAAACATGGTAATCGGCGTACGACCACTACCCTTCCCATTGGCTAATCAGGGCGAGATGCAAATTAACTGCCAGCCAAGATGGCGGCCGGCAGCCAGGCAGCTTAAACTGAACATGAGGCTTGCTTGCTTCAGTGACGGAGGACTGCAACGTTCCCCGCCTGCCTTGCCGGCCTCTGAGCTTGCAGTTTAAAAAACATTGTAACAAATGTAGAAGATAAACAAAACCCCAGAAACGAGCTTTCAGAGAGCTGTGATCTCAGAGCTGGAGTTGATACAGAGTTTCAATTATAGAATCAAAACAAACCAGATACCTGTTTTCAGCAGCTGAGGCCTCAGAGCTGGAGCCAGGCTAAAGCTGGCCCAGAATAAAAAAAAGAAAAAGAAAAAAAGGAGCAGTTGGGAGCTTCAGTCCCAGCCTGAAAACAACCCTCAGCCCCTCACCCAGACTGGCCAGGCACCCCAGTGGGGGCCCCCACCCTGAAGGGTGTGTGACCAACTGCAAACAGCCATCATCCCCTCACCCAGGCTGGCCAGGCACCCCAGTGGGGACCCCCACCCTGATCCAGGACACCCTTCAGGGCAAACCAGCCAGCCCTACCCATGCACCAGGCCTCTATCCTATATAGTAAAAGGGTAATATGCCTCCCAGCACCGGGATCAGCGGAGCTGAGAAGCCTCCCGGCACCGGGATCAGCGTGACAGGGGGCAGCGCCCAAACCCCCTGATCGCCCTGCGGCTCTGTGTGTGACAGGGGACGGGGCCACAACCTCCCTATCCGCCCTGCTCTGTTCGTGACAGGGGAAGGCGCCCCTGCTCTGTGCCTGATAGGGGGGAACTCCCCAACCCCCTGATCGCCCTGCGGCTCTGTGCATGACAGGGTGCGGCGCCCCAACCCCCTGATTGGCCCTGCTCTGTGTGTGACAGGGTGCGGCGCCCCAACCACCCCCCCCACGGGCCCTGCTCTTTGTGTGACAGGGTAGAGCCATAACCTCCCCATCGGCCCTGCCCTGAGTGTGAGAGTGGCGGCGCCCCAACCCCCTGATCAGCCCTGCTCTGTGGGTGATAGAGGGCGGCGCCCCAACCCCCTGATCCGCCCTGCTCTGTGTGTGACAGGGGGCGGTGCCCCAACTCCCCTATTGGCCCTACTCTGTGAGTGATAGGGGGGAGCTCCTCAACCCCCTGATGGGCCCTGCTCTGTGCGTGACAGGGGGGAGCTCCCCAACCCCTGATGGGCCCTGCTCTGTGCGTGACAGGGGGGAGCTCCCCAACCCCCTGATCGACCCTGCTCTGTGCATGACAGGGGGCGGCACCCCAACTCCCCAATCGGCCCTGCTCTGAGCCCAACCAGGGGCTGCACCTAGGGATTGGGCCTGCACTCTGCCACCCGGGAGCAGGCCTAAGCCAGCAGGGCGTTATCTCCCGAGGGGTCCCAGACTGCGAGAGGGCACAGGCTGGGCTGAGGGACCCCCCTCCCCCCCGAGTGCACAAATTTTTCTGCACCAAGCCTCTAGTCCTATATAATAAAAGGCTAATATGCAAATTGACCAAACGGAGGAATGGCTGGTCGCTATGACGTGCACTGACCACCAGGGGGCAGACACACAAAACAGGAGCTTCCCCCTGGTGGTCAGTGCGCTCCTTCAGGGGGAGCACTGCCTAGCCAGAAGCC